GACTGGAGAGATACAGGGTGACAGCTGCCTTTCCCACTTCTTCAAGCCTACGGTCACACACACACACACACACACACACACACACACATGTGTATGCATACACAAACATATACACATACACACACATATTTTAAGTTTACATTTTGCAACAAGTCTGTAAGTTTCCCCCAATAGCACTGGCCAGCGTGGTGGGGACAAGTGGGAACCTACACAAGGAGTTTAAGTGCTAGGCTTAGATGTGGTCCCCCAATGCTCACCCTTTGGGGTTGAAGACTCCCTCGCCAACATCAGCTGCCACTGACTTTGTAGGCAGAAACTGGGTTTTGCCAAAGCATTGGCTACAGAGGGACAGAAGAAAGCTTGAGGAAGGCGCAACTCAGCTCTCTCTGCAGAGGAAAGGAGGCCGAGGCAGATCACATGGAAAGGGAGTTCAAGTCCCAGACAAGCCACTTTCCACGGTAGCAATTCTGTTCTAAATATGCAACTGACTCTGTCTCTGAACAGAAGCTGAGACCTTGGGAAGTCCTGGCTCTCTGCAAGTTAATGGAACTTTAAACATCGTTTTCAGAACACAGGGTGTCAAATAACCTACTTGGGACAGGCTCTCTCTATATTGAAAATTATAGTTTGTTGAAATATAAAATTTGTTTGGAAATTTCTACTTAAGAGATGAATGTGCATAAAAGAAACCTGTGTATCTGCTTGGACCAAAGGTGTGAAAAATAAAAAAGAGTTACCTTTTAGCTGCTTGTCATGGGGGGGTGTGTCCAGTGTGTGAGTCCATGACCCCTAAGTATAGCACACTAAAATGGTCTCAAGATACTTTGATCAAAGTGCAAAGTCAGACATGGATCAGGGCCAACTGGAAAGGCAGGAAAGGCCATAGCTGACCAGGCTCCAACTTAGTGCTCAAGTCCTGGACATTTTTTCTTTGGGATCACTTTGGAATCTTGGCCTCAGGTCAAATCCTCTGCAGCAGCTCAGTGTGGTCCCCATCCCTTGCTCGTCTCAAAATAGGAAAAGGCAATTCTTGAAGCATTTGTGAGAATACAGTTAAACTGTCCACAAATTTGGGCAAGAAGTTAAAAATAGCTCTTATAGTCTTTTCCCCCTCTTTTTCCTTGTGTGCTGGGAATTGAACCATGGTTTTACCACTAAGCCACACCCTCAGCCCCAAAATTTAACTCTTTAGGCAAAGCAGCAGAGAAAGAGACACTGGACCCTGGTGTCCAGATAACTTGGGAGTTGGCGCTCCCACATAGCAGTGCAGAGTGGAGAGGTGGTCAGCTGAGGGGAGCACCTTCCCCCCCACCCAAGCCAAGCCCTCATTTTCTTTGGTGAGGAAGCCCCTGGGGCTGTCCCAGATGCAAGGAAGCTACAGGAGGTGACCAGAGAGGAGGGAGAATCAGGAGCAATCCTGTAGGAAATAAAGAACAAAGAGTGCCTCCTGGGATTGCCAGGGCTGCTGAAACAAAGCACCATAAACAGAGGGCTTAAACAATGGAAATGTCCTGTCTCTTGTACAACCTTAAGTATTGACATCTGCAACACCCCTGTTTACAAATCAGGTCATATTATGACCTAAGGGCTTCAAAATATTAATTTTAGAGAGACCCATAATAATAAGAATAATGAACACTTATTAAATATCTGCTGTATTCTAAGCACTGCAAACTGTTGCCTAATCATCACAATAATACTAACTGAGATACAGATCTAGTATCAACCCTGCCTTCCCTAGAGAAAAATGGGGATCAGAGAGGTTAAGTAGCTGACCCAAGGTCACCCAGCTCGTAAGTGCAGGGCCAGGAGACCACAGAGCCCAAACACTCCCCCATTTTGCTTTGTTGTCTTCCCCACTTTCTCCTCGAACATGTGTTGGGTCTGGTGCCCTGAAGCTCAGCAGTGAGTGCTGAACGCTGTGATTCTGAAACTGTGGAATTCGTTGGGAAGCAGGAGGAACTGTAGACAGCAGAACCCACTGAAGATTTGTTTTTACTGAACCCCAGAGAACAGTCTGATCCTGAGGATTGCGAACACCTGCTGCCTTGAAGATGACAGACTAGCTGTGAGTTCTGCCAGTGACTTGCAAATGCAGAGCCCGTGCGTTCACAGAACCAGCCGTCCCCCTGGTCCCCAGCCCATGTGGCACTGATGCGATGCTCAGCCCCGTGTGGCCCGAATGGTGCCTGCTGGAAGTTCACTCACCTGCCAAGCAACGCTGGACCATGGAAACTGATTTGGAAAACCAGCTGTTCTGCAAAGTGACAATTAAATACAGCCGCCAAACTGCCCAGTGACGCTCGGCACCAAAATTAACTGCAGATCAAATGAACAAAAACGTCTTTCCCTTCTCAGTTTTATTAGGTCCTGGCGTCATTTTAATAATCTGTCAAAACCACTAAGGAGAACGAAGAAGAGAAAGGGAAAGTCCTTTTCAATAGGCAATGACTTCAAAGAGCCGGATGAAGTGGTCTTGTATGGAAAGAAGGCCATGCAATCTTTGGAGAGTCGGGGACTTGCTGGGGGAAGGAGCAAGTAGCCCTCACTGACTTTGAGTTTTGTTTCAGTGCTAACTCTGTTAGCTGCTGGATGTTTTCCTGTTGGTGCTGTAACAAATGAACACACACTCAGCCTCAAAGGGATGCAAATGCATCTTGTGGTGTTGGAGGTCGGAAGTCGAAATACATGTCAAACTGCAAATGTCACCATGTTAGCGGGCTGCTCCTTCTGGAGATGCAGGGAGGCTCTGTCTCATCTTTCCTCATCTTCCAGGCCAGCAATGGCCTCCCTCCTGCTTCCGCTTCCACAATCCCATTCCTTCCCGGTGTTGGACCCTCCTCACTCCCTCTTTCACTCAAAAGGATACTGTGATTCCACTGAGCCACCCAGATAATCTGGGGGTACCTTCCCCACCTCAAGATCCCTAATCCCATCTGCAGTTCCTTTTTGCCCCATAAGGTACCACACAGCTCCCAGGAATTAGGAGGTGGACATCTTTGGGAGCCATTGTTTTTGCCAACCATAGGTGGCACGGTCACACCCATTTTGCAGATGAACAAATAAAGTCAGAGATGTTGGCCAATTTTCCCAGGACTACCAGCTGGCAGGTGGGTAGGATTTGAATTCAGAGTTGTTCAGATGTTAAGCCCAAGCTTTCTCCCCAGCCCTTTCTGTGCCAGACTTTTGACACCAGGCTGCATTTAGTCTCAAGGGCTGGGGATTAGGGTGAATGCCACCACTAAGGGACTTTATCCAAAGTCCTACATTCTACATGCCTCTGGACCTCAGGTCCTTTCAAAGACAAGAGGGGTGAGCTGCAGTTTACTTCTCTTTCCTTCCCCTAAGTCCAACAGCAACTTCAGTCTTCTGATTCCTGGTCTCCTCCTCCAGGGAGCCCTCCTGGGCCTCCCCATGGGAGAATTTATCTCAATGCTGCATGTGGTCATTGTCTGTTTCCAGGTCTGTCTTTCTAGATCACTACAACTCCACAGTGACCTATATGTGGGGTGCTTTTGGGGAGGGGGTTCTTGTGGAACAGTCAGGGGCATGAACACTGTCATGCCCCTGCACCCCTAGAAAGCATGACCTCATTCTGTTTGAGGCCATGGTCAACCATCTCTGGACTGTGAGCTCCTGCAGGCAGGCGCCATGGTAACTGGTCATGTGACCCTGCACAGGTCAGCAGGTGCCCTCAGGAGGAGCGGGCAGAAGCTCCCCGCAGGACCCATTCCCAGCCTTCCAGGTCCCAGTGGCCGAGGTCCACTGTAGTCTATGAAGAGCACACTTCAGGGACTGCCACTCTGAGCCTCGGCTTAGAACGGTCCCCTTCCTTCCCGGGAGGCAAAGTCTCTCCCCCTTCTTTCTGGGACTTCCATCGACCTCAACAAATACCATCAGCTTTTCGCTGAACATGTCTGCCAGGCAAAGTGGGGAGTCAGAGCAGTGACTGGAGTCGGGGAGGCCAAGGCTGGCCCATCCTCGCCCAGCCTCTCCCTCAGTTTGCTTCTCTTTCAGTCCAGGACAGTCACCTGACTTGCAGGAGACCCGTCAGGGCGTGGGGACAGTGAGAGCCCCATGATGCCATTTTTCCCCATGCCCTCAGGCTCTGCCCCCCTGTGTGGCCTGGGTCTTGCTGCCTCAACCATCAAGAGATGGCAAGGATGCCTGTAAAATCCTGCTTTCTGCAAGGATGTCATCCCTGCCTTACTTCAAGTGACAGATTACAGCGACCTACCCGCCCAGGACAAGAAGGGTCAGTGCTTGCTGAGCTGAGTGCATGTCGTCCTCCAGACTCTGCTTGAATCTCTGGTTGTCCATTCATTTGTTTAGTCCTCAACCCGTGACTATGAAGCAGGGATGCTGTCCTCACAGAAATGGGGAAACTGAGTCACGGAGAAGTTGGATAACTTAGTTGGGTCAGGAAGCTCAGGAGGAACAGAGCTCAGGGGTGGGAGCCCTGTGGTGTGGCTTTGTCCTCTGGGTCCTGAGCAGAGGTGGGACAACCTCACCCCATGGACAGTGGTCAGGAATCCAAAGCAGAGCAAACTTTTGGAGGATACAGTGCTCACCACTAGTGTTGACTGAGGTCTGCTCTGTACGAATGCACAGCAAGGTCAGAGTGTGCTCTGGGCCCGTGGCCCTCTCTCCTTTCTGTTGGTAGAGCTCCCCCCCCCCAGCTGTGACAAACAGCACAGACACCAACATCTCACAAAGAGGGAAACCGAGATTCCAAGGATTGAGAGCATTGTTCAACCTCACACGACCAAGGAATTCCAGAGCCAGGATTCAAATCCAGTTTGGTCTGATTCCAGAACTTGGAAGAAGAGCGGCTATTCGTTGGTAGTAAGAGGAAGAGGAGTGTGGAAAGGAATACCCGGGTAGGTGGGTGACATGCTGGGGAGAGCTGCATGACTCACTCCTAAAATCCAGACACCATGGGGTGACAAAGGGTGCACTCCAGTGCTGATCGGGGTCCCCAGCAGCCCTCAGTGACTTACAGAGAAGATGGAAGCCAGCGTCTCGATGCCCCCTGTACTCAGGGTGATGTACGAATATTCGCTTGAGGGATGCCAGCTTTGCCAAAGATGCTGCTGGTGTAGAACCAAATCTGTAGTGTGGGAAAGAAAAGGAAGGGACGGGGTCAGGGAAACCCAAGTCCAGTTCCTAAATTAAATTCAGGAGTAAGGTACTCCGAGCCTCACTGCTAAACCCTCAGCATGAGGTGGAGCTGTGTGACAGGCCACTCGGTTTCACCCTTCCCCCCTGTTTTCCCTGTCTCCATTACAGTTCACACAGGTGCTCAGCGGAAATGTTGTGGGGCTTCCAGGAAGCCATTTCTTTGTTTTGTTTTGTTGTGAAAGGAGCTTTTCATCAATTAGGTGTGCTCCCAGTTTTTTCCTTTTGCACTTCTTCCTTTCTCCTTTAGGATGGTGGGTGTGATTGCTGGAGCTTCAGTAGCCCTTTTGAATCAATAGATTAACCCCCAACTTTGTGAGAATTAGAAAAGGCCTCTGCTCCACAAGCCTCTTAATTGTCAACCACTGGAAAATTGTCATAAGAAACCTTTAATGAGTCCAATGTCAATGATGCACCCAAGATTTGTGGGATGCATAATCTATACACCGATGACTCATGCCCTGGCTTTGGAATAAAAGTCACCTATTCAGTCCCAGAGCAGGAAGTTAGCAGAAGTTAGCCTGTCCTCTCTGGTCAGAGTGATTGCATGTTGTTCTCCAAACCTAGGTAAATCCGAGAGTTCCAACAAATGATCTCAGGACAGCAGGCATATGTTGAGGGCATCTTGGGCAAACCGAGACTTGGGGTCCTGGGGTTGTAGCAGGCCTGCTAGTATGGAGAGAAAGCTGTCCATCCTGTGTAAGTTTCTGCCATGTGAGGCTAGAGCCTTTCTACCTCACAAGGTTAGGCTTTGTGACCTTGCCTGACAGTCCAGACTATTCCTCGGCAGAGCTGCCCCATCCAAAGCCCCAGGCAAATGTCATCCTTCATTCTTGTCAGACCTCTCTTCAACCAGACCACAGAGGCAGCAGGGTGAGCTGACCCTCCCAGCCTCTTGGAGTGGGACTAACCATGGTCACCGCAGCTACATGCCCCACACTGCCCACTCCCCGCCTTCTGCAGGGCTCAGGCTCAGCCCCGGGTCAGGGCAACAGAAACTGAATGCCCCTCTTTGTGAGCTGCTGTTGTTTGGATGGAGGGGAGGCTGAGAGCCGGGCAGAAGGGGTTTCACCCCCAGAAAATGCTATGATGGTGAGAACTTGGACTTGCCTCTTACTCTCCCAGCCTCTTAGTCTTCAAGTGTGTGCAAAAATTAAATTGAACGATGAATCTTGGTGTCTTGTACTCTGCAGTGCTGAGCAGAGGCCTCCTTCTCTGCCCCCATCTCCTTTTTTTTATAACAAAATTCCAGAAAGATACAAAGAAAGGACTCATATTTTAAGAGTGGGCAGAAAACGCTAGCTTATAAAAACTTGCCTAAGAATGCTGGATCTCCCAGTCCTTCTCTTATAGATAAAAAGATAATGTCACTGACACAGCCTTTTGCCAACTGCTATGACCTTTCTGATCTGGTCTCATTTGGACTCAGACATCTGAGTGATTGAGGCTCAGAGAGGGTGAGTGTCTCACCCAGGGTAACACAGCTGGGAAATCAGAGGGTGTGAATAGAACAGAAACCCAGCCATCTTGGTGACCTTGGCAAGAGTGGCCTCAAAGTTGGGCTCTTTCAACAAGATGACAGCTGTCAGGTTTGGGCACCACCTTTGTAATGGAAACCCTTCCTTTCCTCTGCCTTGACCACCACTTTACAGCTGGGAAAACAGGCTGAGGTCAGTTTCACAATTTGTCCAAGGTCCCAACTCCTGCAAGTTCAGTGCTGCAACCCCTGCACTGACTGAATCAGCTTGTGACAGTGATTTGCAGGCAGCCACATGGACAGGCCATGTGTGCAGCTTTCTCCCCTCCCCCCAGGACACAGCCCACTCACTAGGGTAACAGAACATCTTCATACTTCTTCTAATTTGAGTCAGAAGAATCTGTTCAAAAGAAAAGCTCCTGATAGACGCTTGTGAAATTGTAATTAGGAATTTTGTGCAAGATATGCTTTGAGCTCCAGAACTCCTAATGACGGCCTGACAGATCAGATGGGCCAGACATGGGGAAAGTGACAGGCCCGGGATGGATGTCCCCCCACTCCAGCCCATCCCTGGAGCCTCGTGGCTCTTGTTTTACATCCATGCCTAACAAGCTTAACTGTCTCATTTCCCAACCAAGACTGGGCATCAGAAGCAATGGGTCTGAGGAGAGAAAAAAGAATGCTCAAACATCTCACGGATGACAGCAAGGTCTGGAGAGATGAGCACAGGTGAGTGGTGCTCGTCTGTGAGACGTCTTCATGCCTAACTCCATGTGATCCTCATATCCGCTGTGTGAATATTGCCATCCCAACCTTTCAGAATAGGAAACTGAGTCCCAGGCAGTTAGAATGACCAGCTTTCTGTGTTCAAGAAGGGAGGAATCCAGGCCTGCCATCCAAGCTGCTTAGGAGGCAGCAATAGGAGGATGCAGGTTCAAGGCCAGCTCAGGCAAAGTTAACTCAAAACCTATCTGAAAAACAAAGAGCAGAAGAGTTTCAGCAGGGTCACAGCTGAAGTGGTGCTTGCCCAGCAAGTGAGAGGTCCTGAGTTCAATGCCCAGGATCACAAAAAACTAGAAACAAACAAATAAACAGGGAGGAATGCAGAGAAACGAAGGACAATGCAAGGTAGATAAAAGCACCACCATGAATCTTGGCATCCTGGAAGTTTCTGGAAGGTTTGGGAAAACCAGTTTTGACCATTGCTATTGATCCAACTTTCAGCCCAAGAATGTGATAGAAACACCTCTCTATGCCCTGTTTTCACTGCCTACTCCCTTCCTTCCCAAACATTCGGGTGTCTACCCTGTGTCATGGGCTGCTGTAGGAGCTGGAGATAATGGGGGTGATGACATGTGATCTCCATCCTTGAGGACAGACCCCCAGCATAGAGGGGTCTGAGCTGCTCCAGTGCAGGGGACAGGTGATCGAGGAGGAGGAGGCTCCTTCAGGCTGATGCTGACACAGACCCTGGTGGGTGCGAGACTCAGGATGCTTGGTAGGAAGGCATCTGCCTAAGATGAGTAATCGGAAGTGACAGGTCTAATTTTATAGAGGGGAATTTGAAAGCTATCATAAAAGGTATTGGAAAAAGAACAATTCAGCACAGATCAAGAATTTGGAAATAGTGAAATGTTAAATCCAACTTGGGCGTGGTTTCTAAAGCGTGGGAAACCATTTATCCACTTTTTAGCATAAGTGTACCAAGAAGCATGCAATGTGGTTCTTAGCCAAAGGCCCCTCTGCCTCTAAGGCCATCTGGCAGTATGTAGACATTGCAGCACCTGGGGGCACCTGGCATCCAGCAGGCAAAGGCCAGGGAGGCCACTGAACATCCTGCAGCCTCTATGACCAAACCCCAAAAGTGGATAGCTCTGAGACCGAGAAGTCTGCCCTACTGCAGATCCCTGGGGCTTAGAGACACTGGCCAGACCTGGACGGGTCCTCTGGGGCAGTGTACCTGGCACCAAGGAGTGTGATTTTGACAGTGAAATGATCAACTCGACCCCTCCCTCCCACCAGCAAGGCCTTCAGCAAGCCTCTGGCTCTCTGTAAGCCACCGTTTTCTCACCTAGAAAGCGAGGACCAGTGCCTCCTATCCTGCAGGACTCTTTGGGGCTGAAACAAGGTGAGGAATTGGAGGACACCTGGGAGTATTACAGACATTTCAAAGGACAGACCATGTCTACCAAAATGACATCTGCCAAAGAGAAGTGGCCAAAGCAAGCTGTAAGGAACACCTGCAGCGTGAGACTGCTTGATTCTTCCTTGGGCTCAGGGATGGGTTGAAAGCACCAGGGGAAAGCTGGGGCCTGAGCCAGCATGCTGGCCTGTGTCCCTTTGGGTGTCAAATGGAAGACTTGTCCTGTAGCTGTCTCCAGATGAGCTGGCTGGCTCTTTGAAGGCCCCCGGGCTCAGCCATGTTCCTGCAGAGCTGCAGGCATGATCTTAAGGAGTCTGGGCACTTTGGTGTGCCTGTCCTCTTCGTACCCTGCCAAGTGGCCGGCCTGCTCTGTACTCCCTGTCGCGTGGATGGGGGGTTTACCATCCCAGATGGTCAGAGTCTGTTTCCCAGAAGCAACAAATAAATGCTTTGAAGTTTTCTCAGGCCAAAGTCATGAGTTGAAGCCAGCCCAGCCAAGACTTCTTTCATTTAAATCACCTTGGGTTTTCCCATTTATGACTTTCTGTTTTATTGAGAAATGTGATTTTCAAGTATGTCTAGGAACCAATAAATGCGACAGCAGACAGAAACATTTGCAAGGGACAACTGAGCCAGCTGCTGAACTGGATACTCTGTGGGACTCTCCTTCCGCATCGGTCGTCCCATTCCACAGATGAGGAGACTAAGGATCAGCTTATGATGTGGGTGTTGGCAGAGCTGGAATTTGATCCGGGCATCGAGAGCTAAACTCCGAGCCACCCACCCTCGGTTCCTCTGTTGTGTTGACGCCCGGCTGGAGCCCCACACTCACCGCGTTGAGGCCACAGAGCTGGTAGCAGGCCATGGTGATGATCACGGTGATGAGCTGCCAGCGGACGAAGGGGTCCCTCAGCAGTTCCAGGGTGGACACCAGGTGGAGGTTTTTCTGCACGTGGCTCTCAGCCAGGGCCTCTTCCACTTCTCGGGCCACATCTGCTTTGCCCAGGAATTTCTGGAAGGCTGCAAATGGGACAGCACAGACAGTTAGCATGAATGGGAGCTAACGCTAGCCCCCAGCAGACGGGTCCCTCCACCCAGACACACACCTGGGAAGGGCCCTTGGAAATTTCAAAGTCCAAAGTCCTTGTTAAAAGTGGGAAAACAGAGGCCTAGTGTTGCCCACCTGCTGGGAGAGAACACGTGTCGGGTCGCCTGACTGTCCTGGCATGTCCAGGGTTCAAATCCATCTCTACCAGGAGGAGGTAAGTCCTTGTTCATCTTTTGTACTCATTCCTGGCTCTCATGGCTGCTGGGAAATTGCATACATTAATTCCTGCTCACAGATTCCCACTCTGGAAGTACTGTTTCAGTGAGCATTCATTGAGTGCCTCCTGTTTACCTAGGCCTGTGTGCTTGTCCTCATTGGATATGTCCAGAGGGAGGTCGATTGCCATTTGGCCAGGACACTCCAAAGTTAACTCTATCATCAGAAGGAGGACTGAACTAACGACCTTCAAGGCCCTTTCCCAGTGACCCTCTGGAGTATAGACACCTCGAGTAGGAATAGTCTCCAAGAGCAAACTCACTCTCGTGATTTGTGCCACTTGCAGGTGGAATGCTGCAAATCCCAGCCTCTGAGAAATGCTCATATTTATGGAGCCCTTAGTTGTGTAAACCTTGGTGGAGGAAAGCTCCAAGGTGGGCTACCTCATCCCATCCCTGAGATTTTAATTCTCAGGTCACCGATATGCTTTCAGAGCATGGATTTAAATATTCCGTGCTCTGCCATCCTTCCACCCACAGGGAAAGGCAGCTATCATGCAGGATCCTGTGGACGGTCCATTCCAGACCCAGCAGCAGAATCCTTAATGACACCGCTCTGCACCACGGGGTGTGTGAAATTGCTCTTCTTAAGCAGGAAAAAAAAGCTGTTAAGCTTGCTCCAGATTTTCCAAGCGAGCAAGCTCACGAAGGCTCTGCAGTGTTGTTTACAGCACGGCTCTGAAACTGCTTCCGAGTGTCTCTTTGAAGGCAGTGATTTAATGCTTTGCCAGCACTGATTAAGGGATAGGAGAAAAGTAGCTGAATGAGTAACATTTCTGCATCAGGCACAAAACCACTGTAGTCCTCATATTTCTTACATCCATCTCCTAAAATAATTGTAGCGTTTGGGGGCAGGGAACTATATCTCTTTCCTGCCTGATATACATAGTTTCCATTTCAAAACAAGGAATAATTTATAGCCTTTTCCCTCTCTTTTCACCTTGACTGCCAGGAAGCTCTCAGCCTCATTCACTTACACCAAAGAGACACAGACAACCTGCTGCTTGTCACATCTGTTCCCTGTGTGGCTATAGCAGTCCCCTGCACCTCTCTCTCTATGCCTTTATCCTCATGTGAAAGTGCTCAGCTCCCAGCCATGAGCACCCCAGAAACAGCCCTCTACTATGGGTAGAACAAAGGTGAGCAGAGGAAAACCTGGCTTCCTCATGACACATGCACATTCTCTGCTGTTTCCTAGAGGTGTCCTGGTAGTGATGCGCTGATCACCAGAGCTGAAACCTGTTGGTGACGAACCTCAGTCTCCAACTTCCCTTTTCTAGCTGGGGAGATGGAGCTTCCTGGTATCTCCTCCCAGGTAAACTACCCATCCATCCTCAGAACCTGGATTCAGGCTTTGGGGCCACCCAATGACAATCACGAAGTCACCTAAACTAGATGCCTTGTGGTCCCATGGTATCAACCTCCCCATTGCTTTTGTCTAATCTAGATTCTAAGTTTTATGAGCTCTTCAGCACCTGTGCTGTGAGCTCCTCCCTGCCGGAGCCCAGGGCTACCTTAGCTCAGGCCTCAGCATCTCCTTGGGGACATTTGTCACCAGCCTCCCTCCTCTGAGATGATTGCGTGCTTCCTGCACAGTAGCCTTTGCTGCAGGATCCAGCCCAAGTTCTCATCTGCTATGCAGAGCGGTGGCCCACACTTCCCTATCCGCCCTGCTACCATGCTGGAGAAACCCCTCCCCCCACCCCAGATACACCCCACAGAGTGGCCTCTGTGCCTGGCACATGGTTGTCCTTTCTGGATACCCTGACACTTTGCTGCCTGTCTGGAACATTCTTTTCTGAAGATGTGCTCAGCAGACACGTCTTCCAGAAGGCTTCCCTGCTCTGGTCGTGGTTGGTCACTGTCCTGCTCTCATCTGGCCTCTCTTACACAGGTGTCTTCCCCTTTTAGGCACTTGGCTGGGATGTCCTGTCCACACTCCTGCGATGCTCTCCCCTGTGAGTGTCCTAAAGAAGGAACCACTTAAGGGATGCAGTGACACAGATGTAGGCTTTGGGGCGAGATCAGCCTGGGCATCACATCCAGCAGGGCTATCTAGCTACCTGTTCTCTGTGCTGTGATCCTTCTTCCACAAAACCGTGATCATAAAGCCTCCTATGGGGTTGTTGGGAGGAATAAAATCACTACACTTACAGCGTTGATATATGTGGGTGTCAAGTAAAAAATAATAAGCTCTATCACTTCTTTTCTGTAGAACCTGACATAAGTATGTGTTCTGTTGGTATGTCTGGATGACAGAATGACAACGGAGACTCAGGGTGACAGGGAAGGAGGGGCATGTTACAAATACAGAAGTGGGTGTCGGCAGCAGAGCCAGCAGGGACAGAGAAAAATTATGTAAAATGTCCACAAAGTGAAATCAGTAGAGCAGTCCCATCAGCTGGGGCTCTTCCCCTCCACTTTCTCAGAGCCCTTGTTTCCAGTGGCAGGCTCCCCGCAGTGACAGACTCTGATGCATTAGGGGGCAGCCCCATGCAGGCTGAGTGAGGATGAAGAATGAGCTGTGTGCCTCTGAGAGTCACTGGCCTGGAGAACCTATGCCTCGGGCCCTGGGGTTGCTCACCAGTGCTGGGAGGACCTGGCTCTGAGGGAGACAGATGCTCAAGACAGTGCTCTGGGGGTAGGAAGAAAGTGAGGGGCTTCCTGTCTGAGGCCTCTTGTGGAAAATTCGAATGCTTTCCCTTCCCTGGAGGCCACACTCCTGTGGCCAGGCCAGGCCCTCTCCTGGGAGGTCTGAGTGACTGACAGTTCCCTTGCCTGATGATAGCTGTCAGCAAGTTCAAGTTCTCAGGCCCACACATCCCTTGGGAAGAAGCAATAGCCTGCAAAAGGGAGAGACTTGGAGCTAATTGGCAGAAATCATGGTTCCATTCAAAGTCAGCGCCCAGCACATCCTTACTGAGCACCCACTATGTTCTAAGCACTGTGTTGTGCTTGTAGGGGATGGAGGAACAAAAGCTAGAGCCTGCATAGGTACTGTCCCCATGGCACAATGACCTCACATTTCCTATGTGCACTTTGTGGCATGGAAACAATCTCGGGAAAGGTGTGATCAAAGACGTTTAATATCACTGCATACTCCACTCCTTGATGGTTCAAACATCAGAATAATAAATTTCTGAACAAGTCCTGCAGCAAAAATATGTGAGTACTTTAGTTTCAGTCCACATTTCCTAAATATATTTGCTGAAGCAGCTACAGAAGAACATGGAGAAATGCCATTCAAATGCTATGTGGTATATGTGACAGGATGAACCAAAGATATCCTAGGACCTGGAAGAAGACGTTACAGGGAGCACTGAGCACTGAGAAGGCAAACAACTCTAGGCTACTCCCCATTTTGCCTTGTAGGAGGCACCTTGAGAAGCAGAAAGAGCCTGTACCAGACAGAAGATGACCCCCAGAAAGTCTACCCAATCTGTAGAACCAGTGAATGTGTCACCTGACATGGCCAAAGGGACTTGGCAAATGTGATTGAGTCAGAGATTGTGAGATGGGGCAATGATCCTTGATTATCTTATAAAATCACAAATATCCTTAGAAGAGGATTGGAACCAGAGAGGAGATGATCGCGGAGGCTGAGGTTGAAGGGAAGCACTTTGAGGATGGGGAAAGGGATCATGAGCCAAGGAACACAGGCAGCCTCTAGAGGCCAGAAAAGCCAAGGAATTGATTCTTGTAGTGCTTCCAGCAGGAAGTAACCCTGATCACACTTTGAGTCTAGCTCTAGAAGATCCATTTTGGATGTCTGACCTCCAGAACTGTAAGATAATAATTTTTTTTAAGCCATTAGTCTGTTGCCATGGCCACAAGAAACTAAGATGCAACTGTTAAGATAGGAAGCTTCTCAGTTGGTCACTCAGTTTGCATAATGGTGGGGGAAAGCACCTGCTCTCTCTGACCTTGGAGTGCCCATCTGCAAAGTGGGGCAGAAGTCACTGGCATCTCCAGGGCATATGACTGTCCCATGTGCAGGGGACACAGAGCAGCAGCCCAGAGCCTGGCTTGCCACAGAAAGACACTCATGCTGTCCCCCTTGCAGGGATGAGTAACCCTACCAGGAGGTATGACAGCCATCATGGTACACATGGTGCAAGGGCAGATGTGGGGTCTCTCAAGCAGCTGCCAGCCAAACTTTAAGCATGGCTCTGGATCCAGGCTGCTGGTGGGGCCCCGCTGTGCTCTATCCTCACTGTGTCCACTAGGGTGAATTGTTTAGATTGTCTGCCCTGGACCTCCCAGTATGAGGACCAGGTAGGTAGGTGACTTAGAACTGGAGTGGTGGTCAGCCCTGCAAAGTGCTCAGTGCATGCCTGTGCTAGCTGGAGCAACAGTTAGGTGTGCCCTAAAGGTTCACTTGACTTTCAAAAATGCCTTGGAATGCAGGACACCAGAGTGGTGGTTCAGGTGACAGGTGCTAGCTGGACAGCACAGACCATGAGTTTCCAATGTACCCATCTTTCATACCTTTCCTGGCCAGAGCCAGCAAGGCCCTGGGCTTTGGAGATGGGTTGGCATACCTGCTGGGGACACAGGTTAAGAGCTAAAGGCAGAACAATCCTGCTGCAGTCGGTTCTGGCTGCTGTAACAGAAAACCACAGACTGGGGCTTGGATAACAGACATTGTTTTCCCACAGCCTGGAGGCTAGGGTCCAAGATCAAGGTGCTGGCTGAAT